CTTCAAATGTATCATCACGTAAATTTGTTTTAAGTGGATGAGCCTATATATATTAAAAAATTTGTATTGGTTAGTTTTATACATAAGAAGCGATGCTATATTAAAGTTGTATGTTATAATGTTTTTACCTCCAAAAAGCCATTCCATACTTCATCTGTAGCTGTGAACTTCTTCGTTTCAGGATCCCACCCAAATCCTGAACTAAAACGAAGTAAATCTTTCAAGCTATTGTACTTACCTTTCAAGTTCTTGAGCCTATTTTTGTACTCGTTGTAACTTTTATTTGTTCCAAGCTGTTTATTTAGAGATGGTAATATTCTTCTTTCCACCGTCAGTTTGTTGAATTTGCCATTAGCATCACGAAAACCTTGATTAACTGCGTCCACTAGCAGCCGCACTAACAACTTGTGTTCAGGCTCAGACCATTGTTTATATTGACCTTTAGCTTTCACATCTTGTGTATCTCCCATTGTACCTTGGTAACTAATCATACAATGAAACAAATATGTAAGGCAAACATTATATAATCAGAACTAGTAACTAATATAATAAGAAACAGAACTTAGAACACAGGAAAGTAAAGACACAAGAGCTAAACAATCCACAGATCACTATGTCCCAATCAAGTCCAGCTTATGAACTGTATAACCAATCCAGTCTACAACAGCAACTAACAAAATCAGAAAACCAAGAGAATTTACAAAACATAGGACTCAAACATGTGAACGATGATACAAGTTTGAACAGAACATAAGACACAAAAAAAACCATATTTTTATGACATAATTTAAGAACGATGATGATACTTTCTAATCATAGTCAATTGTAAACTAACAACATAAGAGAAACAGACGTGAAAGCTTGTTTGTGTAAACAGACGTGAAGACCTTGATTGGAAGAGAAATAACCTTACGTATCTTGTTTGTGTAAGCTGCTAAACAAAAAAATATTGATTAAAAAGTGAGTATATATATACCTTACAACTAACCCTAATAATAAAGAAATAGACGTGAAACCCATAAGTTTGTGAATTTGAGTGCCTTTTTTTTGTGAATTGTTTTTTTTTTTAAACCAATCTTTCAAAATCACACCTTGAGAGGTGTGATTTTTTTAACTGGTTTTCACTTGTAAAATTGTATCAAAGTCTCCCAAAATCACTTTTTATGGTTTTCTAAAAAAGAAAGAGTTATGTTTTGAATAACAGTGGATTTGATATGATATTTACAAATTATTGATTGAATAACAGAGATTGTAAGTGATTTTGAAAGACTTTTTACAAATGTCATATTCAATAACAGTGGATTTGAAAAGTGATTTAAAAATCACTAGTTGAATAACAGGGAATTTAAAAAAAAATCCAAAATCCTCTAGAATTCTACTTTCAATACACCCCTCTTAAAGTGTGACTATGCATGTTGACTAGGGTCAAAGACCGCTAGTTGGTTCAGTTTGACCCTGAAAACATCGATTTCGGATTTAAATATATATCTCGAATAAAATTTTGAGCTTTTTTGGTTTAAGATGGGAACATCTTAGAGAGTATTTTAGGCTAAGATTTCTTTAAAAAAATATCTTGTACAAAAAATTTTAGCCTAAAATACTCTGTAAGATGCTTCCATAAAAAATGTTATATGTCCTGATTGACTTTGGATCGGTTTGAAAAACTTTTAAACATATATTTTGAATTTTTACTAACATACATATGTTCATATGTTCAACTTGGTTCAGACTATTAGTTCTTTTTGACTTTTGTAACAACAAAATTTCCGCACCTAACCAGATGGGTTGTGAACAATATCAGCTGCATGCCATTCTGAGTAAAGTAAGGTTATGAATCCACCAGTTCCAAAATGTCTAGTAATACTCATATTTCTTGTGAGCAATATCACATGATGAATGACTATCTTCTTTTATACAATTTACAAGGGAGAAGGCCAAATCATGTGTGTGGGCAGTACCGTACATGTGTGTGGGCAGTACCGCACATTCATTTCCTCTTTATTCGTTACTATCATCATCGAAAACAACAACACTAGAAATCGAATACATAACGACACAACATATAATGGAGACATGATGATTGACGTCTCTTAGCTTAGCTGATCTCTTCATGTTCTTCACTTTCTTCATCTCTAAACCCCTCACCCATCAGTCGATCTCTAGCCTTCCTCGTCTGCCCATTCATATCATCAATAGACATCACTTTCACTTTCTCCCAAACCCTAAAAAAGAAATGAAAAGGACATCATGACTCTCGCAATACTAACCTCTTGCTTCCAATTGGTGAGGACATCGATAAGACCGAGCAAAAAAGCTTGAACAAATGACCCAACTGTGACCCCAACATTATATATAGATGGAGACTCTTACCAGAGAGAACTGCGCGAACGGCATCAAATATGACCGACATAGCAACAAGCGGAGCCATTGATCTTACATAATCCACAACTTCCGTTTCAGAGCTGAATAGGTAACCAAATACGTTTCTTGTGCCAAAAACTATTGCACTCACCATTATTGATTCTACACCTGTTATAACCATCACTGTGTAAACCTCCATTCGAGCTTGTTTCGGGTTTCCAGCTCCTAACTCGTTTGCAACTCTTGTACTGCAACCAACAGGCAACAACAACAGAGATCGGTTTAGGTTTCCGATAGATAGCTCTCATTTTTCAAAACTGGGAAACTGAGGAATAACCTTGCTGCTGCGCCTAGACTCTCTGATATTTGGTACAAGGAGGAGACTGTTGATAGACTTTTCAAGAAGGGACAAAATAACTTAGTTTTATGATATCAATCTATTCCAAAACAAAATCTTTAGAATATATGTAAAAAAAAAAACATACAACACTGAGAGAAGAGAGGTTTCTAGCTTCGGATTTGGTAAAAGCCCGGAAAGCATGACTAAAAACTCGAATGACCACCACTCGAGGCTAGTTACAAGAAAACAAATTAAATATCCTCATGCCAAGTCAACTTTCAAGAAGCCTGCTACCAAACAAGAAAAAGAAGCATGAAGAGTTCATAATTATACCAAATCATAGATGCAGATGGGACTCCAAAACGGAAAAACTTTCCCATTCCTTTAAACATAGTCATGGAGATGGGTGCAAGGCTCTTGCTACAGCTGGAAGAAAACGTCATATACAATCCAAGCACAGTCACGTTTAACCAGTAAGAAACACCAATTGCAATAGCTGCACCGATGCTCCCAAACCCAAACTTAAAGACCAAGTTCCAGCAGAGGACAACATGGACACAGAGAGCAGACATTGAGCTCATAATCAGAGGCAAAACAAGACTCTGCGCTTGGAAAAACCGAACAAGCGGCTGCAAAGCAGCATACCCAAAGAGCGCGGGTATGAGCCAAGTTGCAAATTGTCCTGCTTCATGAGCAACCAGAGGATCTTGTCCAGTAAGAGAGAGTATATCACCCATGTAACTCCAGAGCAGAGACAGAGGAATACACACAAGAAACAAAGAGAAAATCCCTGTGTAAGTGTGAACTCCAAGCTTTTCGAATTGCTTAGCTCCATTAGCTTGACCACATAATGTCTCCAAAGCACTAGCCAATCCATACTGTATATGATCACCACAAATAAATAACAATTCAGAATCATAAGCGAATCATATAACTAAGCAAAAGAAAGAGACATACGACGAGGCTGAAACCGGTGAGACTGCAGAAAGAAACGGAAATGGCGGTGCTTGAGAGATAAAGCTTACCGAGATGACCAACCATCATTATTGATACTTCAAAAATGTTAATAGATAGACAAGTTCACAGCAACCATAGGACAAGCGATGTAACCAAGCTTTTTCATCTCCCGCAAAAACCCATCTTTCTTGTTTACTTCTTCTCCATGGCTCACCACAAGCAAGCCCTTCTCCCCTGAATCCATTCTTCTATGCGTTTTCGCTGAGATCTTAAGATTTCAATTTTCAATTTTCCATGTTGGTTTTATTTGAATATATATAGTTGTTTCTTTCTCTACAAGGCATTAAGTATATCAACTGAAAAAAAACGTGACGTTTGTGAACCTACTCATGGTTCCTCAATCCTCACTCTATATATTTTCTTTTTTCTTTTTCTTTTTGAAGTTAAGCGTCGTGTTGTGTCAATATTCTTCTACTTCTACTTCTGCAGAAAAAACGTTTTCATAGATTTTTCTAATAGCAGGAAACACGTTTTCACCTATCACAGCTTTTGCTCTAGTTTTTTATTAGACAGTACCAACTACGAAAGGATAATATATACCGCTGATACATGAACCAGAAGATGGAAACTAACAAAATTTGCTTTAATATTGTGAAACCACCTGTACATAAAATAATATACAAAAAATAATAATAATAATAATAATAATAATAATAATAATAATAATAATAATAATAATAATAATAATAATATACAACATTTACAATCTGTAGTGGACAAGGATTACTCAAAATATATTTGATTCGATTATGTTCAATCATTACAGTGTCACACAGTAATTGTATTTTTGTAGCCACATACATGTCACTAAACTTTTACAAGTCCAAGTCATCGCCAGTTTTTGAGGGTTTTATCTTTATCTACGTTTTTTTTTTTGGTTATATACGAGTTTTGTAGCATCAGGATAAATCAGTTTAAAAAATGTTATGTTTTTTTTTCGTTTAAAAAATGTATGTTTGAAAATATATAAGAAATTATTTGGAAAATTAATAAGTAAATAATCAATCAATGAAAATATTCTTTTTTTTTGGTAGAAAATGAAAATATTCTTTTTAATAAATAAATAATATTACAAATTGTTATACTATTAGTTTCTTATTAAAATGTAATCCTAATCTCAAAATATTAGTTTTCTATTTATTAATTTGTTGCACCCACGTATACGATTTGGAGCAATACCTAGAATTTTCCTTAAACTTTGCACAATAATACAATATCACGTGATTAATGTTTATTTCTTTCCGATTGAAAAAAATATAGAGTTGACAAAACAAACACAACAAAATTAAGCACAGTAGAGGCACGGGTTGACCATATCATGTGTGTGAAAGTAGAGGCCATAACGTGTGCATGTGCACTTAAATAGTAACACCAAAAATCGAATTAATAAAGAACACAACATTTAATTTGAATGGCGAAATATTGACTTCTTTTGATCTAGCTGATCTCTTCACGTTCTACACTTTTCTTCATCTTCTTCAAACACCTCACACATTAGTCTTTGTCTGGCCTTTTTCGCCTGCACATCAAACAGTACACACCACTTTCTCTTAATACACCAAGTTAAACCCGAAGAAACAAGAAAGGACACCTGCAGCTCTAACTTCACTTACCTCTTGTTCCCAGTTGGTGCGGATAACAATAAGACTGAGTAAAAGAGCTTGAACAAAGGACCCAACTGTGATCCCAATCCAGAGTCCTCTTCCTCTCATTTTTAACCCAAAAGCTAATATGATGGCAGTTGGTACGCCACAGAGATAGTAGGCTGCTAGGTTTACATAAGCCCCTATGTCTTGCCTCCCTGATCCTCTAGCCACACCTGCACTTTCAATCCCTCTTAGTTAACCACATTATTAATCCTTAAATGAATTTGACATTATAGAAGGGGAATCTATTCTAACCCGCAAGAACCGCGTGAAGGGCATCGAATATGACCGATAAAGAAACCAGTGGAGCCAGTGTTCTTACATAATCCACAACTTCAGTTTCAGAGCTGAATAGGTAACCAAATACGTTTCTTGCACCAAAT